TGGAAAAACCGTCAACACCATATATCTGTACCATGCGCATCTCTCCGGAGTCTTGCTCAACCGGCTTAGCCTGCTCACCTCCCTCGCCTTCTTCCACGTCAATAGCAACAGGTCCTCGGCACCTCCCCGCCCCCTCTCCTCCCTGACGGACGAGTTATTCCGAATGGCTGGGTATGTTCCGACTAGATCTACGGATCAATTTGACTGACCAGGTGCGTGCCGAAAGCAATGGTGTCGTGGCGGGGATGACGACCAAGAAGGAAGATGACACAGGGAGGAGAACAATCGTACATGAACGAGGAGTCTGAAAAATTAGATCTGGGGGCTATCCTTTTGCGAATTAGACAAGTCCAAGGGGCTTATATGCAAATTTAAAAAAAAAAATCAAGTATATTGCAAATAAATGCATGAGTTAAATTTGTAAATTGATAAGAGATTATAATTCCACAATAATATTCAATGCATTGCACACTGTAATGTTTGGATCTGCACATTATGAATTCCAGAATGTGAAATGCACAAATAGCGTTAGGCAAGAAGCACAATATTTAATGTTATACTGCACAATAATATTAATTGGTATACACCTTATTGAGATTTTCTAAAACTGAAATGCACCTAAAAACACTCGTTCTACATAAGGTTGACGGATAGATTGTCCAAAATATTCGATCTAGCTAGTCGATTTTGTACTTTTAAAATTATGATTATGATTTTTCGGTTCGATTTCAGATTTATTTTTAAAATAATCGAAACAACCGAATCGAACGAAAGATATAAAAAAATGACATTTTTTTATTTATATATATTATGTATGTTAGCAAAAAAAATAATTTAAACGTGAAAATAAAAATATTACAATTTTAAATATACTTCTGTAATATAAATAATAATTTATTTTTTATTATTTTGGTTAACTCTTTTAATCGACCGAATAAATCAATTATATCAGTACGGTTTTAGTTTGATTTGGGACAACGACTTGTCTAGTTCAATTTTTCCAAAAGTTCGACATTGTTATTTCAATCAGTTGGTTCGATCAATTAACAACCCCAAGTGCGATGATATTTTGGTAAATTTTTAAGAATGCACAATATTGTTGGATAAAGTGCACAATAATGTTGGATGGATTGCACATCAATTTCTAAGTAAATGCACATTACCGTATGTTTTGTGCACCAACCCCCTCGTGAAAAATTACAAATTATACTGCTAAGATATTACGCATTTTTTATACATACTAAAGTGCATTTAATTTACCAGTGCATTTCATAGCGCGAGGAGGGTTGTGCAAATTTTGACATTTTTAGTTCGGTTTTTCATGTCTGTCATTCTCGGTTTAGTTTTGATTTTTTTTAAGAAAACAACGATTCAACTGATCAAGATATATTGAAAATATAATTTTTTTTTTAATATATAGTAATTTTCAAGGCAAAAAAATAATGTTATACTAAATACGTTTATGTAATAAAAAATAAATAATTAATTTCGTTTCTTTTGGTCAATTCGGTTAGCCATCCGAATAAACTGATTATTTCAGTCGACTGTCGTATGTTGACATAAAAGTTCGAACGGTTCAGCTTTTTCAAAAAAAAAAAAACAACTGGGTTATTTAAATATTGACGTTGTGGATGGTCGGTTCGATCGAACCAACCAATGAAAACTATTTTTCAAGTCTTTATCGCTTAGATGTTTTGGTACTTAGTTTAATTTTTAATGTGCATATACACACACTATATTGTGCAGGGGTGTTCACGATCTTGATTGGTCCAGTTTTAGCCCAAACCAAGATCAAACCGGACCTAATGGTTAATTTTTTTCTTGTCCATAACTGGGCCCAGTTTTATTTTTTAACCGGCCACAATCCGGACCGCATTGGACAGTCCATTTTGGCGGTCAATCGGTTAAACCCAAAATTCTTGTTTTGAGCCTTCAACTTTTTTTTTTCTTTTCATTTTGGGCTTAATTTGTATTTTTCAATTTTGGGCCCAAAAGAAATTATTTGGGCTTAAAAATTAAGAAAAAAAACAATAATGAAATAAAATATACGCAATTCGTCCCATAAGCATAAAAATACACATTTCGTTCCATAAACATAAAAATACAAAAATGATGAAGATAATTATGCAAAAAGGCCAAAAAGTGGAAAGTGAATGTGTGCCCGTCTTATCGTGAAATCAGAGTGCGAAAATTTCGCAAAGTTATTTAAAAATAAAATCTTT